AAAAAAAAAAGGAAAAAAAAAGCCCCAACTTATATGAAGATTGTATATGTGATAATTTCTGTAAATGAAACCCCTGAACATTCTCATAAACATTATACTGCCAAATTATATCGTAATTAATTCCTTTTTGCTTTTCCTTCAAATTGTTTTAGAATTGCATGGCTAACACTTTTAAAATTAATCTTCAAATAAATTAAAACGATATCTCAGAAAAACTCCTCATTTGTTGATGATTTAGACTCCAAACTTCTATGCGGTGTTTAAGAACCTGGTAAATATATTCGAACAAGTGTGTCTACAACCCAATTATATCTCTATGCCTCATTGATCAGCATGTGTGGAGCAGAGTTTCAAGAATGTCTGCAGCTGATCTGTGTGTTGTAACTTTCAATCCTTTTTTAAAAGCGCCTTGCGTAAACTGGAATGGCGCTCTTCCAAGCATGTTTCAATTAAATTCCAATATAGTTTAGATGCTGTTGTACCATCCACCAACCTCCCCATTTTTTTCTTCTCTCCGTATCTATCACCCTCTAATTTTCATTAGTATTAAGGCCAGAATGACATAATCATTCACAAGGTTTGATGGTCTTTTTATTTAAGAGAAGAAGAAGAAGAAGAAGAAGAAGAAGAAGAAGAAGAAGAAGAAGAAGAAGAAGAAGAAGAAGAAGAAGAAGAAGAAGAAGAAGAAAACCAGAGTTACTGCTACATGACGAAACAATGAGTGGAGGAATACAAGGGTAGAAGCTACAGTGACTCACACCAGAGGCAGAGAGAGAAACACTCACTCCAAAGGCACCTGGGCAAGAGGCTTAGAAGGCAGATGGTTAAAGAATAAAGTGAAGTGTCCAGATATGACTGATATGACTAGAAAGACTAGAGAATGAGCTTCCCTTAACCTACATGAATGGGGAAAGGGAATATTTTATACTTGAGTGTTTAAAATTTATGAAAGTTTTGCATATGTACTGATATGCCTTGGGAATAAAAATCATATGTAAATACGAAATTATCTTGTTTCAGCATGAAGGAATGTTTATGCAACATTCTCAATTTTATGTAGAAAAAAATATTATAAGTAAACTTACAGCCATGGCATCTTATTAGTATAATATCACATTGTGAGTTGGAAACATTTGGAATTTTTGTTACTTTTGGTTGTTAATGTTACCCTAATGGATATTGTTGGGTGATGAAAATGGAAGGATCTTTTCAGATGTTTGAGTTGGGAACTGATTGATTTGGGAGATATTGTGAATGACATACATTGTCTTTACTATTTAATTTGTTTAAAAATTATTGAAATTAATAGTTCCATAAAAACTGTTGGAAATTTTAAGTAACTGTTTCAAATAGATACAAGGAATCTTAAATTTGCAGACAATGTAAAATGCTTGTTTAAGCAGGTTATGGTGGTATCTTGTGTCAGGAACTTATGGAAACCTCCCTGGAGTACAACAGTACAGACATTAATTCCTTCTCTGCTTCGTTTGAATCTACTGCATTTGCATCACAAGGTGAAAATGTAAACTGAGAAGAGCGATGGAGGCATCACTCTTTTGCCAGGTTAGGTTGGCCTGCTTTCAGCATCTATGTTAAAGAGAAGGAAATATTTTGGGGAGGATGGGGAGCAAGTAGGAAGTAAAACTGACCTTGCTGCCTAGTCTCCTTGTTAGCTATTAACAAGTTCAGATGAAACCAACTATGCCTTTTAGAAGGAGAGAAACTCTCAAGTTGTTTTAGAATTCGCATTTTCAAAATTAGTTCATTTTTAAATCTCAGAAAAGGCTTAGTGATTCCTACATTCATCCTGTTGAGCTACAAGAAGGGGGAGGAGGTGCGCAGTTTTCAAGAGACTGAGGCAAAGCTACTGCTTTAGCTTCAGTATTTGCTAAATCAGTACTTTTGGGGTACCAACCACCTTCAAGAATCCACTCTCTCACCCCCAAAATAAAGCAAATAATACCCTTTTTACTCAGTAATAATAAGGAGAGGTGAGGAGAGACATATTTAAAGCATACAATGTTTTATATAAATAATGTTCCATAACTACTTATAAAATGATTTGTGTAGCAGGAAGGAAAACAAGACACTAACTTTTTGGAGAAATCCTTGTTTAATCAATTAGTTAAGATTAAACGATGATTTAAACTGAGTATTGATGTTTTTAGCAAAAGTCCAGGACATGTTATTTCTTTTAGCACCTTTGCCTATCAAGCATAGATCTTGAAAGGCAAGATAATACTGTCAGAATGCGTATGTACCATTTCAGCCAAGGCACAGACAAAATGTCAAAGCCTGTATTTAATTGTTGACAGTTTGTTAAATGAAATGACTCTAAATATCATTAATAGCCGTCAAGGAAAAAAGGTTGTTACAAATTGATGTCCTGAGGGACACAAGCTGTAAAACAGAGTATCACGCAGTTCTGAAAATAATGAATTTTAACTACTGCTTCACCTAAGTTAGGAATAAGATGGACCTTCGTATAAATTGAGACTATAAATGCTCATGCCTCGGTGCTGGAGAGATGGTTTGGTGGGTAAAGTCTTTGCTGCACAAGCCTGAAGAGCAGAGTTCAGAACCTAAGTAAAAACCCGGGTGCTGACTTGCTAAATGCAAAAATAAATATATAAAGTATGTATTTTCTTATTTTAAAGATTGACTATTGTGCAGACTGAAAACGGTGATTTTTTTAATATAAATATACATATGTATGTGTTGCCTAATTACACACTCATTCTGGAAACTAAATTACTTAGAGGTCAAAAATAAGAATAAAATGTTTCTGCTTTATGGTAAATGTTTTCACATTACAGCTTGAACATTTTTATACAGCTTATTGATATTGCTTACTTGGACTCAATAAAAGCTTATATACCTAAATTCTTACCATTAGTGGCATTCCCTCTCTAAATTATCCATGCTGTTAACATGACACCTATTTTTTATGCTCCTAATGTCTGAAGTTGTGTTTCTCAAAACTGATTGTGGTGTACAGCATTAGGAGCCCTGACAATAAAGTAAAAAATAACATTATGGCACCATCTAGTGACCTAATATTTCCTTTTCTCCTTTTGTTGTTCAGCTTGAATGCATGCATCTCTATTGATTACATAAAGCTTCATGCGCTTTTAGTTAGGTGCAGATAGCTGTCATTTATCTATATACTTACCAATGGATAAAGCCAACTGGTGTCAACAAATGGAAACTAAAGGGAAAAAAAAAAAATTTCCCACTTTGTAAAGCAGAAAATGTAGCATAAGAATTTAGAGTATATCATACATAGCCCAGTTCTGTTAGATCCAGATGAAATTACAGAAGGCAATGGAATTATTTGACATTCATATTTGGAACTTTATAAGACAAGTCCATGTCTAAAACACTTTTTCATCTACAAGTGAACTCTTACTTTTCCCTTCAAGCAATTACAACAATTTTTAATAAAACAACTTAATATGGGGGAAAAATACTGCTACAGGAAAAACATGTCCACAATTCTAAAAACAAGTCTTCATTAGTATATGCCTATCTGAATTCTCATTGCCAATATAGACATATTAATAAGCACATTAATATGCAAATGACATAAATGATTACCTTCATTATGTCTCATAACGTATTTGTGAAGCTTGTTATTTTTAGATAAGGCCTTCATCTAAAGAGCAATAGATACATTTAGTTTTTTGTGTTTGTGTAAAAATTTGAGTTATTTGGATATTAACTCATTTTCCTTTTTGAAATATCCTTTAGGTTTGTTGTGAGAGGTGGGATTGATGAAGTGCAACTTGCTAAAATGGCAATCGAGAACAGAGTGTTTAAGCCGTGGCAGACTTGACTGGCTTCGACTTCACATAGGTACATTGGTACTCAGGTTTGCGCCTGTAATACCAAAAACTGGGGGGAAAGTCTCAGAGAACACGGAACTCTGTACTTCTTTACCAATGAAATAAGGACATGGGTTAAATAGCATTTCCAGGCACAATGAGTCCTTTTAAAAATAACGCAAAATCAAACAAAACACTTAGAAAACAAGAACTCTTTAAACTAAGTACTTTGATTTAAAAAACTGAAAAGGAAAATAAGGAATAACTGCTTATAGTCATAAAAAAAAGGCCAAAGAACATATTGAATTAATGATTTACCATCTTAACAAAAGAGACATCAGCTATGGACCCCTGCCTCTTACCTCTCTCTCTTTTACATTTTTAATTAATTTATTTTTATTAATCACAATTTACATCACAGTTTGTAGCACAGCTGTAGCCCTCTCCCTCATCCCCTCCCAACCCCACCCTCCTTTCCTCTTCTATACTGCTTCCCCAGTCCACTGATAGGGGAGGTCGTCCTCCCCTTCCATCTGACACTAGTCTATCAGGTCTCATCAGGAGTGGCTGCATTGTCTTCCTTTGTGGCCTGGTGAGGCTGCCCCCACTCTTCAGGGGGAGTTGATCAAAGAGTTTATGTCAGCGACAGTCCCTGTTCCCATTACTAGGGTACCCTCTTGGATACTAAGCTGCCATGCGCTACATTTGTGCAGAGGTTCTATGTTATCTCCATGCATGGTCCATGGTGGTATTATCATCACAGTCTCCCCTGTGCCCAGATATTTTGATTCTGTTGTTCTCCTTATGGAGCTCCTGTCCCACAACCTCCAGGTCTTTCTATCCTCCCCTTCTTTCATCAGAGTCCCTGCACTCTGCCCAAAGTTTGGCTCTGAGTCTCAGTTTTGATATCCTGCTGGGTAGAGTCTGTCAGAGGTCCTCTGTGGTAGGCTCCTGTCCTGTTCCCTGTTTTCTCCATCTTCCGATGTCTATCTCATTTGCCTTTCTGAATAAAGATTGAACATCTTACTCAGGCTCCTCATTTCTTAGCTTCTTTAAGTGTATAGATTTTAGTATGATTATCCTATATTATATGTCTAATATCCACTTATAAGTGAGTATATACCATGTGTGGTCTTTCTGCTTCTGGGGTACCTCACTTGGGATGATCTCTAGTTAAAAAATATGGAAAGCTTCATGAATTCATGTGTCATCCTTGTGCAGGGGCCATGCTAAACATCTCTGTATTGTTCCAATTTTACATGTGCTGCCACAGCAAGCACTTACTTCTCTCTCTTGCTCTCTTGCTCTTTCTCCTCTCTCTTAATCTCCTCTTTCTTTATCAGGGCACCCCATCCTCCTACCATGTCTCACTATCTCTTTCCCTTTCTCTCTTCTCCATCCAACAAACCTCTTTCATTTAATATCTGTTATGTGCTTCATTTTAAACACTAACCCCCTTCTGCTCTCTCTTTCTCCCCACAAAAACAGAGCTCCCTACCCCTGTATCAGCCATCCCCAGCACATCAAGTTACATCAGGATTGAGCATATCCTTATCCTCTGAAGTCAGGCAAGGCAGCACTGGTAGGGGAAAGTGATCCAGAAGCAGGCTATAGCACCCATGTTAGAAACCCCACTCCTCCACTCAACAGGCAACCCATATGAAGACCAAGCCACCCCTCTGCCACATATACAGAAGTTCAAGGACCAGATCATGCAGGCTGGTTACCTGATTTCTCAGTCTCTGTAAGCCCCTATGGTTAGTTGTCTCTTTTGGTCTTCTGGTGAGGTTCCTGTCCCCTCCAGGTCCTTCCATCTTTCTTCCAACACTTCCACAGGACCCCCGAGCTCCTTCCCATGCTTGGCTGCAAATCCCAGCATCTGTCTCCATCCACTGCTGGCTGGAGCCTCCCAAAGGATAGTCAAATTAGACTCCTGTCTGCAAGCATAGCAGAGTATCATTAATAGTGTCAGGGGCTGGCTCTCTAACATGGGGTGGGTCTCAGGTTGGGCTAATTTTTGGATTGGCATTCCCTCAATCTTTGGACCCTCTGTATCACTGCACTTCTTGTAGGCAGGGTAATTTTTGTATCAAAGGTTTTGTCAGTGGGTAATTGTTCCCCAACTCCCATCATTCCTGACTGGGTATTAGGTGGCTTTTACACATCATACTCACAACGGAGAGGGATGAAGAAGCTGTGGGTAACAGAGGGGAATTGTTGAAGCTAAACCAGTATCAGGAAGTTTAAAAAGACAATGCAACACAGTAGTTCAGTTAGCATACCTAAGAATTTGTAAACAGCCTAGATTGAATCTGGTTCCACTATCAGTAGTTATAAAAATCTGGAAAATGTAATTCATACCTATAAATATCACTCTTAACTGTCTGTTGAAAATACTATCATAACAACATTAATTCTCTTAGAAAATGGTGTTAAGGGTAGTGACACAGTAAAGCATGTGCCATAGATGAGAGAACCCAGTAACTGAACAGTAAAATATAGCCAGTAATGGAACCTGCTGTGCAGGCTGCTACCACCACCCATTTTCTACTACACAAGGTAGATTGTATAAATCAATTACATGAGTGTTTCTTTAAAAACAAACTATCACAAATCCCTGCATGAGAATTGTAGTAATTCCCTGTACTTGTGGAGAAGTCTGAATCTGCTATTATTAGAGATGATCCTAATGAATAGCTAGAGACACTCTTACAGACCTCTGTTACTGTTTTTCAAGAATGAGTTAAGAAGATAAATGTTACTGTAGAAATGTTGTTGGCAAATAACTATGTTACAGAGAGGTCATTTGAAGGACTCTATTTTTAATAAATTTTTATTTTTATATATTAATAACAGTTTATTCATTTTGTGTCCCAGGTGTAGTCCCCTCCTTCATTCCTTCCCCAACCCACACTCTCCTTCATCTCCTCCCATACCCCTTTCCAAGTCCACTTACAGGGGAGTGCTCCCCTTCTATCTGATCTTAGTCTATCAGATCTCATAAGGAATAGCTGCATTGTCCTCCTCTGTGACCTCACAAGGCTGTTCCCCCTTCATGGGGAGGTGATCAAGGAGCCAGCCACTCAGTTCATGTTAGAGACAGTCCCTGTTTCCTTTATTAGGGTACCCACTTGCAGACAGAGCTGCCATGGGCTACATCTGAGCACGGATTCTAGGTTATATCCATGAACCAGAGAGACCCTGGTTGCTCTCCTTGTGGAGCTCCTGTCCTCTCGAGGTCTTACTGTCTCCCCCTTCTTTCCTAGGATTCCCTGCACTCAGCCCAAAATTTGGTTTTGAGTCTAAACATCTGCTTTTATACACTGCTGGGTGGAATCTTTCAGAGGCCTTGAAGGAATCTTTTATAAGCTACTACTAAGGAACACTGAGATAATAAATACCACTTTTAAAAACTGTATAATAAAACAACCAAAACCAGGAGGAGGAGGCGAACATGCAGTAGATGTTAGCAAGGCAGGCTAAATTCGTGTCTCAGAAGATTTTCCATTTTATGGGAGTTATCTAAGTATAAAAGAAAATATACTACTACTTCCTGGTTGTACATTTGTCAGAATCTTGAAAAGAAAGGAACAGGTCCCACAGTCAGGAGCAAGGTGGGCTTGATGCCTGAATGGAAAGATTGGGAAAATTTATCTAAGAGCAGCAATTAAAGGAACTAAATAGTATATAAACAGAATTTGTGCCTCACAATTCTGAGTCTGAGAAGGCCAAGGAATGTGTAACAACAGGTTCTGTTGTCTGACAAGATCTTTTCTCAGTTTACAGCACGGTGCCTTAAATGGTCTTTTTTTTTTTCAAAGTATAATGCTGTTCCCTCACATTTTAGTAGATATAAGAAGACCAAGCAAGCCAACTGCTGTGTGAGCACTCTGTACAGTTACCGCTCCCAAGGCTATCAATAGCTATTGGGTTTCAACGGCTGATTACTAAAGAGGCACGGATTTATCATAGCCTATACAAACATAGTTCTGTATGTTTCACACTTATATGCATATGTGTTCCTACTCTCTTCTTTACTCTCTCCATGAAAATTATGTCACGCTGCTATAAAATGTGTTGCATAATATTTAACTTGAACAACTTTAAAAAATACTGTCTTTCTTTTATTTTTTGAGAGAGTATAATAAAAATTTTCCCCTGACATCCTTGCTCCAAAACTCCCATGTATTCTTCACTCCTTCAAATCCATGTATCACTCTTCATTGTTATTGTGCGCACACACACACACACACATATATATCCATATTTATAAATATAACCTCCTCATCCCTAACTACAACTGAATATGTTTAAGACAAAGAAAAGTATCTAATTTGTCTGTCTGTTTGCCTGTCCTTCCATACATTGCTCTATTAATTGTTTGCCACAGTTGTGTGGCATGCAACATCCATCAGTCATGAGAACTTTGTAAATTTATATTTTTTTCCATGTATGTTATCCTCATGAAGTAGGAAGATTCAGGGAATAAAACCTTAATTTGTTCTTTGGATGGTTCAGACTTAAATCAATAAAAGTTTATTTAACAATACTCACTGTGTATTAGTTCACTAGATGCACCTTAACAATAACAAAAGCACAAATACATAAACAATAAATGTTTCTGTTTTCATAGCTTTGGAGATTAGAAGTCCAGGTTTAGGTAAACATGAGTGTTTGTTTTCTGTGCACATGTCTCTTTCACATGTATAATTTGCCTCTTGTGGTTTCTTCACACAAACTGTTTATGTGCATTCTTATCTCATCTACCAGTGAAGAAGCTGGACAGACTGTATGAGGTATCATGAACCACAATGTCATTCTTACCTAATCATTTGCCAAGGATTTTTTGCTTGTATGTTTAATTTATATTATTATTATCATCATTATTATCATTATCGTCATCATCATTATTGTCACTGGGATGTGTGTGTGTGTGTGTGTGTGTGTGTGTGTGTATAACTGTACATGTTCCAAGGTTTTCTCTATGCTTTCTAGGGATAAAGATTAGGCTATTCATTTTGTGCTTTTACTGCGGAGGCATCTCTCTAGCTCACTAATCGTTCCCTTAAATGCTCTGTCTCCAGATGAAGCCCTAGTCCGATGAAATTTGAAGCTACAACATGAAATTTTGGGAAGACACTGTGGAATCTGTAATGTCTCCTTCTCTAGCAATTTAGGTTTTCTGCTTTTCTCACTTGCAGAATATATTTTTCTTAATCTTAACTGCTACCCGTGTCTTCACCCACCCCAGAAGCAACACTGAACCCCAGACATTTTCCCAATGTCATCTAAGTGAATAGCTGCTAAAGCCTGAGAGATAATTCATCTTTAGGCAGAAGCCTTAGCTGGCAATAAACTTATTAACCCAAGTTAGATCTGCTTCTAAGCATAAAGATAGACAAGCATAGAAAAGGCATTTCCATTTCAAATCAGGAAATAGGACAGAAGAAAGAGAAAATAGAATTTAGTCAAGCATCTAAAGCAAATCCAAATCACAGATGGGAGAATTTTATCTGGTTTTGTAGCTAAAGAACAATGTTCTTTAGTTTGATTCTCTGCCATGTAGATTTATTGGGTGGCTATGTGACCACCTTTGATCCGTTAGAGAAGATATCTTCACTATGACCTACCCAGTGCTTTAAGTAGTCTTGTTCATGCAGCAGCCAGTAGAACTTGTGTTCATGGTCTTAGACTGAAGCTCTGAAAAGGTGTGTGAAATGCCAGATCCCATTACTGCATTTCACATACACACACACACACATACACACACACACACATGCCGATAGTAATGATAGTGATAATAACAATAGTAATAACAATTATATAAATTAAACAAAAAAAAATAGCAAGTGATTACGTAAGAATGGCAAGGTTCATGTTCCCTCATCTAGTCTGTCCGGCTTCCTCACTGGTGGATGCAATCTGAATGCACAGAGGTGTTGTAAATGCACATGAACAAGTAGTGAGAGGAAACAGCAAGAGGGAAATTTACATGTGAAAGAGACATGCACAGAAAACAAACACTCATGTCATCTTAATCCTAGACTTGAAATCTCCACAACGATGAAAATAGAGACATCTGTTGTTTAAGTACTTGGAGCTTGAAACATTGCTTCACAGACTTCTCATGATTGATGAATGCCACACCATTATGGAAAAACACAGCAATGTCTGGAAGGACAGGCAAACAGACAGACAGATTAGATACTTGTCATATGGTTTAACTATCAGTTGGAGCTAGGGAGGAGCAGGTTATATTTATAAATATGTACATGTACAT